CAGGATTTCCCACACCAGTGCTCCTCTGCCTGGGCTGGCCATCGAGACCGTCTGCTCCAAGTTCACCACAGCTGTCCCCTCGGGAGCAGAAGCTTCCAAGGGAGGCAGCTGAGTGCACTACCGTGAAGCCAGCAAGGGAGCCTGGCTTCCTGAGTCGGAATCCTACCGCACACAGGACCATTTGTGTAGTTAAAAGCACAGCAGAAAAGACCCCTGCACCATCCACCTCCTGCTCCTCTGGGCTCAGGCGAGATTCCAGTGCATGGCCTGGGCAGAGAGGGGCTGACAGGAAAACCAACCCCATGCGCTTTTGCACTTGTTAAACATCTAAATCGTAAAGAGGGAAGAATACACCAGGTTTCTGCAGCAGCAGGCTGAAGAAATAATGCCTCCCCAGCTGCTGAAAAGCAACTCCCTCTGATGCCTTCTGCTGGAAGAAACATTCACCACATCACAAGCAGCAATGCGAAAAGAGAAGAAAGACAGATAAAATGCGGGGACGATAATTAGTCACTGCTTATCCAGCTGAATAATACCGCTGCCCATGGCAACAGTGTAAATCCACCCCCTGGAGGCTCTGCCGTCCCCTTCAGGTCCCATCCCCTTGCGGGAAGGGAGTGGCTGGACCCTGGTGAGAGCAGGGAGGAGGCTCGAATGGCCTTGCTGATGGATCAGGTCTCACGTGGGGTCCCCGGCTTACGCCTCTGGCCTCAAGAGCCCTCCTCCCAGCTCTCCCGGTGCCTTTTCTGGCAACCTGAGAAACAAAGCCCAGTTCAAGACCAAGCGTGAGTCCCAGCAGGGCTTCTTCACAGAAGGACTCCCGAGGCCTGAGGTTCCGAGCAGCAGACAGCTGCGCAGCTCCCGTGTGCCCAGCCCGGCCGGGCGGTGCAGGCTGAAGGTGGGGCAATGAACTCCTCCTCAAGTGCTGTTTTCCCCAATCCCTTGGTATTTCTCCACACAGTACTTTCTAGGAAACCTTAAACGTCTAGAAGGGGCACATGTGGGGCTTTTGTTGTTGCTGTTTATTTACTATATTTGTAGGAGCTGGAACCAGCTGGAAAAGTTAGGATTGGGAGGACCAGGCCGGTCCCCACTGTCCATGACCAAGGATCGCATTCAGCACTTGGGTGAACTCGACCCTGTACGAGATGGACCAAGCCTTCAGTCAAAAGGAACCGTCCCTACCACGAGCCCTGCTGATGCACAAGTGCTCTTTTCCCACAGGGTGGAAATCAAGTCGCCACTGAGCTGGGACTACAAAACCTGGGCCAGTCACCTTCTACTTAGTTTACTGCTATTACTACTATTATTGCAAAATGATATTTTACTGAGGTAGGAAAAATACAGTGCTGACCATCTGAGGTGTCTAAGAGCCTCAGTCTTACGCCTGGATGTCCATCATTTAACAAGAAACGGTTCTTCATAGACATTATTGCCCACATACCCCACCAGGGGGCAGAATCTGGAGTCCCATCTGGGTGGAGGTAAGGCAGCGCCACCCGCTTACTGTGACAGGAGGAAGCTGTCCTTAACATCTGCCACACTGAAAGGCTGCCTCTGTTGCAGGTCACATGTGCCTCCCTCCCTGGGTCGCTGATAGATGTTCACAGATAAAAACGTACTTCTAAAGTGGGTTTCCAGGTTCCTCAGAGATCAGTTCGGTAGTCTGGACTTTTCAGAACTGAGCCCAGATGATCCGGAGAGATTTAGTTTCACCTTCGCTGATTTTGCTCATTATGCAAAGTAATGATGATACTGAGATCGCAGTAACAGGCACCGCCAACCAAACAAGAGAGAATTCTTCGTGTCTCTTAGCTCACAGAATACAAAATTCTGGAGGAATCCTAGCAAGTACCTAGCTCGACTCTTCCTTCAAGAGGAGCACACGTGGAATGAAGCCCAATACCCTTCAGGGAGGCTAGTATTGGGAATGTTTTCTCAATTCTGAGCAAACAGCTGAAATTTTCTTCTTTGAAAGTGCCACCCAGTGGCTCTAGCCTGGTTTTGCATCATAATACAGAACAAAAATATTCTCCCTCTACAAGATTATTTTCTAGGAGGCAAATTCAGACCTTGCGTCCCGCCTTGGCCACACCCTGCCCCACTCCTGCACCATCCCTGAGTCACCAGCGACCTCCCCACGGGCCTGGGCTGCTTCTGTTCTGAATGTGCCCCGTCTATGTCCCTCGTCCACGTTTATCATTTTAAAGCAACACATTCCCATGTCTACAACCTCTGAGGTATTTTAAAACCATCCTTTGGTTATAGAAGTTAACACAGAATGCTGGACAAACATAAAAATTTTATCTGTATAATTGAGATCCTTTAAATTCAGAATAAAAAGTCTCTACATTTTAAAGTCTCCATTCACGGTTAAAAACCCAGCCAGCCCCTAGGTGAAGCTGAGCCGGGGCCTTCCAGCCAACACCACCAGAACTCTGCAAAGCCAGGAGAGCTGAGATCACAGGCAGGAAGGAGGCAAAGCGACCACTGCACCCCACAGCGGGCCTCTGTCCACGGGTCCCACCCTGTGAACGTCTCGACCTCTGATCCAAAAACATTTGAAAAAATGAAAACTGTGTCTGCACTAGATACGCACAGATGACTTTTCTTGTTGTTCCTTTAAACGACTCAGTGTCTACACTGTGTTAGGTGCTGTGAGCACTCTAGAGACGGTGTAGAGGACAGGAGAGAATCGCATGGGTTACATGCAAACACGATGCCCTTTTACCTGAGAGACTTGCGCACTAAGCATTTCAGTATCCTAGGGGAGGGGTAGCCCGGGGAGCCCAACACCAAGAGACAGCAAACTGTGTGCATGGGGGTGTGTGAGGGTGTGTGTGTCCTTCAAATTGGTACATTCATTATATTATGCAAGTAGGATACAAAACACAGACTTGTAAACATCTCTGAAAATGTCCTTTTGTTACTATTGTCTTGTTGAGACGGTGTCTCCCTCTATAGTCCAGGCTGGCTTTGCACTCACTACGTAGCCCAGGCTGGCCTCCAACTTGCGTGATCCTCCAGCCTCAGCCTCCCAAGTGCTGGTATTATAGATATGCACCTGGCTGAAAATGTCTTTAAAAAAAAATGTCTCCAAGTTTTGTACCAGCCTTAAATCCTTCCAGGTAAGGGTTTAATGGAATCCAAAGCCAATCCATGTGAGGTTCAAGCCGACGGTCCTCTAGCATCAGACACAAGCACAATATATACTTCCCAGCAGTGCAGTGGCAGAAATGCAGGCCCACAGCTAAGAAGCCCCGTGGGGAAACCGAGAGGTGCCCCAGCCCCAGATGTCAAGGATGAGAAGTTCACAAGCAGAGACACTTGGACAGCAGTTCCCAAGATACTGTGCCGGGGCTGCTCTCCCTCGGGAAATGCTCCTGACAGCATGTGGGGGGGGGGACCCCCACACTGAGGGCCACTGGGCCTGCCTGGGAGCACAAGGCACAGCCAGGCATGGACGGGGTCTGCGTTGAGCCCCACTACTCCGCTGAGTCCCGTGTAAGTCCATGGGGCCACACACAGCGCCACACAGTGCGGCTGGGCTGCCCCTTGGGGCCAAGGCTCTCACGTGTGTCTGCGTGTCCTGTGCCCAGCATAAACAGGTGCCCACCCACTCGCCGCTCCCATCCTTAACAGCACCGCACTCACATCCCCGACAACTTTTATGGATTAGTGAAAAAATGCGTGCGTGAGTGTGTGTGTGTGTGTGAGTGTGTGTGTGTTACCAGGGTCTGAATTCACTAAGCAACATCCTCAGCTCTTTTTTATTTTTTATTTTGAGACAGAAGCTCACTAAGTCATTAAGTTGCCTAAACATGCAATCCTCCTGCCTCAGCCACCTAGAGTGCTGGGATTACAGGTGTGAGCCACACGTTTGATTTTTAACTATCCTTTAATCTTACGTATCCTATAGGTATGCATTATTTATCAGAAGTGGACTTCTGATTGTAATCATTTATTAATGAAGTAGATATCTCTCTAGGGTGGTGCTCAGTATGAGGAAAATGCTTTTTTCATTGTCCATTGCCAAATGTTTAATAAAATGAACACCTTTTTTTTTCTTTGCAATTTAGGGAATTATACCTAAAGGAATTCTTCCAAACCTTCCAAACAGTTAATACTGTTGTTTTCCTATCAGATTTTTTTACTGCACTGTTTTGTTTTGTGTGTGTGTGTGTGTGTGTGTGTGTGTGTGTGTGTGTGTGTTTTGTCTTTTTGAGGCAGGGTTTCACTATGCATTTCAGGCTGGCCTTGAACTCACTTTGTAGCCCAAGATGGCCTCACTTCACAGCAACCTCCTGTTTCAGCCTCCCAAAGCTGGGATTATAGCATCACCATGCCCAGCTTTACTGGATTTTTAAAATTAAGCAACAAAATCTATATAATATGTGACTAGTTTGGCCATAGTACAGACTTTCAAGAAGAGAGAAAGAGAGGATGAATAATGACAGTCAATGCTTTTGCCTGTTAGAGAAACAAATGTTCAACTTACCTGCTTAAAAAAAATTGGAAGAGGAAAGTCACCCCAGGAACACTGCTTCATTTCATGTTACACAAGCAGAGAAAGGGCAGAAAGGAAAGAGGCGGAAGAAGAGACAGCAGAGGAGAGGGAAGAGGGAAAGGCAGGCAAGGAAGGGGACGAAGGAGCAGGACGGACAATGCATCCAGAAAGGACCCAGTCCCGGAGCAGCGGTGAGAGGCGGGGAGGGTGGGTAGCAGTGCAGAGACCCAAGTCCCCTCTCTCGTCCCGCCCTGTCACACCCTGAGCACCCTCTGAGAGAGGCTGTGGCCGTGAGCCAAGTTCTGGAGAAGCTCCCCCTTAGGGAACCCTCAGCCCACATGCAGCACGTGAAGGAACCCCCTTTGATCACGATGGTCACCGCCTGGGCATGCTCACTTGCGAACCACAGGAAATGGGGCAGAGTAGATTGTGTTCTCAGGCTGAGGCCCCCGGCGGGCAGCAACGCCAGCCCCAGGCCCTGCGCAGCACTCACCTCCTCAACCATCTGCTTGACTTTCTTCTGCTGGCAATGCACCATGTCGTCCAGGTGTCGGATCCGCTCTCGGAGGCTGGCGGAGGCTTCCTCCAGCTGCTGATACCTAACACGGGGAAGGAAGGCAACTGAGTCCTGCAACCCAGCACCCACACCAGCAAGAAGGCCACAGCCTTGCAGAACCACCGCCAAGACCAGGAAATGGACTCCAAGATCACTCTGCTTCCTGTGCACATCGTAGGTGATCTTCCTGTGCACGTCGCAGGTGATCAGGTACGACCGAGTCGAGTCTCCACCCTGAAAAAGCCTCTCTCGCTCCCATGTTGAGTTTCATCCTGCAGAAGGACAGCTACTGTGCGTTCCAGGGACAGAGAGAATTTTTCCGCCCACTTACAAGTGTGTAAGGCTTTCTCTCTGGGGGTTGCTGAAGATTAGAACGTCCGGGTAGTTACTATGATTAGGAGAACGGAGGAGGAGGAGACTAGCGGAGCAACAAAATGTCTGAAACGCAGTGTCAGGGTCTTGGAAAACCTGGAGGAACAGTTGCTCTGTGAATTATTTATTTTGGATGAACAAGCAATGGGCTGAACGGCCTCTGCATTGACACAGACTGGCCCATGCCACAAGACATTTCAGCGTTCTGTTTCAGAACAGCACCAGCTCTCCTCTGACTTAGCTGGGGACGCAGCAGGTGGTCCTTCCACTCTTCAGGCTCTGGAAGGACCCGCTGAGGAGGTGCCTGGAGTCTTTTTTTTTTTTTTTTTTGGTGTTGGGAATCAAACTCAAGGCCTTTCACTTGCCAGGCAGGTGCTGTGCCGCTGAGCAACACCCCTGGGGCCTGGAGTTCTGCACGCCACCCACCTCCCAGCTCCACCCTCAGCACCACTGTGAAAACCAGCCAAGATGCCCATCACCTCGGAAACCCCCATCCCACAGGAGCAAGGGCCTCGGGAAGCCTGAGCCTCTCGCCCAAAGTGCTCAGTCCTCCAGCCTTCAGCTGAGAGCGTGCTGACTCCTCGGCCTTCTCCTTCCCAGAAGTGTCAGTTTACTACGCTCACACTTCCTACCGAGCGTTCTGTATCCTCACAGCCGAGTGCAAGGTTTGGAAACAAACAAGTTCTTTTCAATCATTTTCCAGGACGAATGTTATTAGTCACAGCTGATGTGTTTTCCCAATACCCAAGGTGCATCCTGTGGAGCTCAAGGTTTTGGAGCGCACGGAGACCAGACTTCCACACTGGCCACAGAATTCGCTGCGTCCCTGAGCTAAGGCGTCGCGGGCAGTGAGAGGAGCAGTCAGGTCCCCATCAGCCCAGCCCACACTGCAGGCTCAGGCCGCAGTCACACCTGGCTGCCTTCCTAACTCAAGGCCAAAGGGGCCCACAGCGCCACCCTCTGCATCTACTACCAGGAAAGTGCCCACACCTACCTTTTCTTGTCAGCCACAGGAATCTCCCCGGACATTTCTGTCTCGTGCTCCAGAAGCTGGAGTTGCAGCTGGTGCCGCTCCTGAAACAGCCAGATACGGTGAGTAGTGGATCCCGATGAAACTGCACAGAGCAGGTCCTGGACCAAGCAGTTCTGCTGGTCGTGAGGCCCAGGCCATGCAGTACCCTCCAGTCTGCACAGACCCACCTGCTCCCCCAGCACCCAAGCCGATTCAGAGTGCAGGTCTGGTGGTGGGCATTTACAGAGGTGTCTGCGGAGCAGCGTCAAGCGCCTTGGATAAAACCACATTCAAGGTCTGCTAAAAAGTATTGCATCATCTCAGACGCAGATGTCTCATGAAAGTATATAGTTCTACCTAGTGATGATCCAGGCTGGAAGTCGGTGGCCTGTGACATTGTAAAACTTTTGATCGTTACCTAACTCATCAAAATACAGGAGGTTCTGAAATTCTGACAATGTTGTACCAACATAGTGGCATTTATACATTGTGGTCACTTCTACAAATTGTATTATGGTCTGAATAATGATTCCCCAAACTGCAGTAAACCTTTACAAATTACACAGATTCCAAACCTCTTTTCTACCAACCTATTCAAAGCACATCTTTGAAAATTTAACTCCTGCTACGTCCAAAGCTGCAGAGGGGGCACCCAGGGGACAGCTGGGAGGCCCACCTCGGCCAAAGAGGCAAAGATTAGGGAAGACACTGACTTGGGTTTTGGTACTCTTTTAAAAATCTCTACAGCAGACACACCGTCTTACAGTCCAGGCCGGGCAGAAAGTCCCTCTTGCCCTGCATGTATGCTCTGACGGAAAGTTCCCACTAACCCTGAAAGGAGGGTGCAACTCACACACGGGTGTTCCCCACCTCCCCACAAAAATGTCAGGAGGCAGTTCAAGACCTAACTGCAGCACACTTAAAAATCTACTTTTTAAATAAAATTCAGATGCAACAAGTCTTGAGTGGGCACCGCACAATCATTTCTTCCCTTTGTATACACCTGTGAAGCCACCAGCCAGACCCAGGATGTGTGGCCCCCTGCTGCCCCAAAGCCCCAGAAAGCACAGTGCTTACAAGATTTTCTCTGGCAAAAATACAGGTGCTGAGTAAACCAAGGTGTGCAGAAGTGAAGTGACTCAAAAGCACACAGTCTGGCTTCATGCAAAATCCAAAAACAAGGGACAGCAAGGTATAAACACTGCTGTGTGCATGGAGGAGACAGAGATCTGGCCAGATCCCTCTTTCAAAGGTTCTCCCTGGAGAGGAAAGAATCTGTCAAATGCTAGCTAAACAGAACACATTTCTCAGCAGGGCAAGGCAGTGCATGCCTGTAATCCCAGCACTCTGTGAGGCTGAGGCAAGAGGACTGCAAGTTGGAGCCCAGCCTGGGCAACTGAGCAATTTAGCGAGACCCTGCCTCAAAATAAAACTTAAGACCTGGGTGGTGAAGGCCCTGGGTTCAACCCCTAGTACTATGAAAAAGAAGAAAGAAAAGAAGAGATTCCTTCAGCCTAGAAGGAGAGAGAGAGACTTAGAGAAGGGACAAAAGCTCAGTCACTGGGGGAGAAGCCATCGAGGTGTGAGGAATCTTCTGTGTCCCCTAAGTGCTGGCAGGGGGTCTACGTCACCTCCTCCTGCATCTCCCCCAACTCAGGCCGCATGTGGAGCTCAGCAAGGACAAACCAGAAGTTTCTAAACCCCCAGGGTACAAAGAAGATCAGTTCTACAAGCTAGCCGCAGGGCAGGCACTCATGCAATCCTGTAACACAATGAAAATCAGGGCTCAGAAATGACTGAGCCCTTTACCAGGGCCAGGCCCTGGGCTCAGCACGGGTGTGTTTTTCTTATTTGCTTCTCCCAAACCCACCAGAATAAGAGGGAGCCTTGTCCGCATTTCACGAGAGAGCTTGGGAACATGAAATAACCGCCACACTGGAAAGAGGCGAGACCAAAGCCTGGGTCTGCCTGACGCTACACATCTGCTCTGGCCGCACACACAGTCTCTGGAAGATGCTGCCCCAGCTGGCCCTAACGCCCAGAGAGAGCGCTGGACTTAACGGGCGTCTTCTGAGGGGCCATTGGGAGAACGATTCCCCGCATGTCCAGCACCTCCAGTGAGTGCCATGTCAGCGCTACATGAGCCACCACCCCTCCTCAGTGAAAGGTGGGCTCTCTTCCTCAGGGATAGCGGGGAGGCTATAACCCCAAGCAAGGATATTAGCTGCAAAGGGGCCCGGTGATCCCGGAAGCTCTGTGCGGGGAACCTAACGGGGTTCCCACGCTGCGCAGAACCTTGTGGAGGGCACAGGGGGACTCTGGGGCATACACGCAGCGAGTTACAGTGAGCTAGCGGTGCCACAGTCCCCACAGGTCACCTCTCACTAGAGAGCTGTTTCTCAGAAACTAGCCACAGGCCTGACCTCCTGGGACCTCGCCCGGAGCTCAGCTGTCGGCTGCTGGATGTCACCACTGTCCTGTTCTCTTCCCTGGCTCCTGCCTTCCTCCTTTTCCTCCACTTCCTGCCTAGTTTCTGGCCACCTCCCCTTCTCTAGACTGGATTTATCATCCCTTCCTGGGTCCCCACCTCCCACGCACACCGGCAGGGCTGGGTGTGGAGGAAACCCGAAGGGGCCTGATGACGCAACGGCCAGCCCGGCGTGTGGGCAAAGCAAGGCTGCGAGGTGTGAGGAGTCTGTAAAGAATTTCATACGGACTGTTTCTTTTTAAGGCATCAGCATCGTTACTAAGGGAAAAATCAGAACTTTGTTAGACTTCTTCATATTTTAGAGCTTTAAAAAAAAATTTGCAAACAGGCTGAGAGGAATGACAGCAGGGGGCTTCAGTACTTGCCGACAGGCCTGCGGGGGACTGAGGGACACGGGGGCGCTGCGGGGAGAGAAAGCGTGAGGAGTGTCACCTTCTCCATGCGCTCGATGAGCCTGTCCAGCTCCCCGATCTTCTGGTCTTTCTCCTCGAGGCTGATCTCCGCCGCTTGCATCTTTTTATTGGCCTCTTCAACCGCTTTCAGAAAACTGTTGGTTTCTTCCTGCAGAGCAAACACACTCTCAGCACAGGCGTGAAAACCCGGGCCACTCACCAGGTCCAAGCGGCTCCGGCCTTGCTGAGCCACGAGCGCCTCTCCGAAGCCTGACCTCAGACCCCAGAGCATCCCACAGCCTGCGGGGTCGGCTCCCATAACTCTAGTCCCACCTATGAGTGAAGGCTCGTCACGTGGCTTTTTAACGAGCCCGGCTACTTTCTCTCCCTTTTTCACCTTGAATTTTAAACTTAAAAGGTGTAAACGAGTCTATGGCAGTTCGAGTAACACTGAGCTGATGTTAGAATTCCCCCATATTCGTAAACAGTGTAAAGGGACCCAGCACCAGGTCAGGAATGGGATGGGAACGCCTGGATCGCTCCCATACTCACTCTGAAGAAAGCTGTCAATCATCGGACCTCGAAGGATAAGGACAGAGTCCCTGCCTACCAAGAACCTATGCTGCCCTGGCTATAGCGCTACACACCACGGCAAGGCGCAGAGGTGTCCGCCTTCCCAAGGACAGGGCCCTTCCAGATGTGTGAGTGGCAGACCTGGGGCACAGAGTGCGGCGCTTAGAGAGCTTGGGTGGAGTCAGAAGGAGGAAGCAGGGTTCAGCTCGGTTCAGCTCAAGGGAGGAAGGGAGGGCTGCAGACAAGAAGGGCCCTGCTCGGAGCAGGATGGGGGCCAGGAGGGAAGAAGGGAGTGGAGCGCAGGAGCAAAGGAATGAACTCACGGGTCCACACCTGTGCTGGGATCCCCGGGAGCAAGCCCTACCCGCATCTCTGCCATCAGCGCGGCCGCTACGCACCAGGAGGGCCTCCCTCTCGGCGCTGTGCCTTCGCTGTTCCTCCCGCAGCCTTTCCTCATACTGGCTGTACAGCTTCTTGGTCATCTCCCTCATCACCTCAGCGTTGGCCTCCTGGGAGGATTCCACCTGCAAAGAGACTCACTGCAGTGCCGCCGAGCTGCTGGGTCCCAGGATGACCCCAGGCTTCCCCTGGCCAGCTTTGTGTGGGCATGGGGGCCATCACCCAGGCCTGCAGTCGAGAGAAGCAGCAGGAGCTCGCAGAGCAGGGGGCGAAGGAGGAGGAAGGGGTACACGAAGCCCAGACACACGAAAAGTGGCACCGCTGTACACCACGCTGTTAGCATGATCAGAGCAAAGGTGTGCACAGGAGTGGGCCCTTCAAAAGGTGAAATATAACGCTTAGCAACCCCGCTAGCTGCCCTGGCCTATCCTGCACCTGGGTCAGGGTTGGGTTAAGCTCAAATAAGAAACCCAGCCTCATCCTGTCCCTTCCTGTGCACCCTCCCAAACGGCAGAGGGCCTCCAACTTAGCAGGGACATGAAACTGAGCCCTGCTAGTGGCGTGAGCTGGTGGACGCTGGGGGAGAAGGGTCGTAGAGCTGGGCGGGCAGTGCTGATGTGGGTGGCGCTGGCACCCCCTTCGTGCCCAACCATGACCTCCCACAAGGACTTGGGGCCGCTGATTTCACACTCTCGTCCCTCCCCCCAATTACTGCTTGCTCCAGAGAGCTGAGCCCGCTGGGCAGGTCCCCTCTGGATAAGACACATCCTTCAGCCTCAGCAGGTTAGCAGGCTCACTCCCAAGGCGTGACAAGCCCGGCCTTGACACTCTTTAATTCCCCCTTCTTATCCCCAGGCAAGTGCGGCACCGAGAAACCACAAGATGGAAATTCCCAGGCGGAGGCTGTCCTCAGCTGGAGCCACACTCTGTGTCCACCACACACAGCCCGTGTGAAAGAGCCTGAGTCCTTGTAACTTTTTCTTCAACTTGGAGGACACAATAAGAGGAAGGGGAGGGAGCAGCCTCTTCAGCTCTGTGGGTCAGGATGAAAACCGAAGTCAGACTCCAGCACAGGCTGGCCCTAGAGCCCTGGCCACCACGCTGCCCAGCGGCGTCCCTGAGGCCTGGTGACACGCCACCTCACACGGGAAGGCCAGGACAGACGCAGAGAGCAGATGGCAGAAAGCACCTGTGGGTGGAACACATCAGAAGGCGCCTCTGCTGAGGAAAAGCCTCAGTTCATTAATTTCAGACTTTTTCTGCAACAAACCTTTTTAGTGCAAGCCACCCTCATGAGCCTGGGCAGAAACGGTAAAAGATACAAGGAGAGGAAAAGTGGAGGAAAGGAAGGGAAGGGCCCACCGCTGGGGGTGGGAGGGCCTGCCTCGCACAGCTCACCTTCATCCTCAGCAGCTGATTTTCCACCTGCGCCGCCTCCAGCTGCCTCTGCTTCTCCCGCAGCTCGTCCATGGAGGCTTCGTACGTGTGCTGCAGGTTCCGGATCCGATCCTTAATGTTGCTGTTTTCCAAAGTAACGTCCACCAGGGTTTTCTATTTAGATGAAAATAAAACCAAAGCCAGAGCTAGTGGCATGAGGAAACACGGCCAGGGTCACACCCTGGACGCCCTCTGTCAGGCCACCCCTGCCACCACCTGGGGCCTCATGGCTGAGGGACTGGGGCCGTCCCATGGTGGCTTCCCGCAGTGGCCGAGAGCTCTGCACCCCTGTGGGGTTGGGGGACCAGCGAGCCTCCCCTAAAATCTCCCACAGCAGCTGCCAACACATGCTACTGCTTAGGGGGGCTGGAAGTGGATTAAAATACTCTTTCCAAGGAAAAATGTGCACAAATAATACACCATTTCCCATGGAAAAAAACAGGCTTGGAAACAGCATAGTGCCATCCCAGTAATAAATCCAAATCAGTTTCCACTATGTGATAGAATGACGGATATTTATTGTCGTCTTTGTTTTTCTCCCTCTATCTTCCACATCCCGACAACGGAGTCAGAAAAGATGAATTTTATAGAGTGATAATGTCCCCATTTTTTTCTACAAAGGGTTGTCGCCGCTGTACTTCTGCACCGCCTGCGGGTCAGAGACAACATGGCAAAGCTGCCACATGCTTCATCTCCCTCCCAGGTTGGAAGGGTGGAGACCAAGAACCTCTGAAGAATAGAGCCGGTGATTTGGACAAGCGCTTGGCCAGGGTGATGAGCCTGTGGATTATCGCTCTGGGCCACCAAAAGGAACAAGTGTATTTACGGTCATAGTGCTGCTGTTTCTCACTTCATTTCCCAGTTGGTTAGCCCCTTAGAGAATGGCTTTCACACACCCCAGCATCCCACCACTGGGCACCGGGTCAGGGCACGCCCACCACCTCTCCGGTCATCTACAACTTCCAGTCAGATCTGGAAGCGGCTCCCCCTGCCCAATCCCCTCTGGCTCTGTAAGTGCTCACTAGTCTGGTGTCCACACACAACCCCACAGTGGTCAGCAGACCAGTCCCTCTCGTGGTCTGCCACCAGCCAGACCCTGACCCACGTCCCTGCGCTCTGTTGGCCTTGGTTTATCCGTAAAACAAAAGAGTCAGAGGTCATCTCTACAGTCCTTTCTAGTGCTGATGTTCTGTGAAATCAAGCCAATATGCCCTGTCCATAAAGACGAATGTGGTAGAATGGGCAATTGGAAGAAGCTGGGGTCTGCGTAAAAAAAGAAGCCTGTGAACTTCAAACGTTCGCTTAATTTTTTTGTTAGGTATAAGACTCCTCTGGATGCCCAGTACTGAGAACCTGGACCACAACTAGGAATCAGTGAGGGCTCCCAGTTAGGGCTGTGTTCTAACAGCTGACCCCTGGGGTCAGTGCCTGGACTGCTGGCCTGATGGCAAAGCTGAAGAATATTCCAGAAAATACTGGAAATCCCACCCCCCCTCCCGGTGGGGGAGAAAAACCAGACACATAGTACAGATATGAACCGAGTATGAACTCAGATGAGGCAAAGCCCTCCATGCTGGGCTGGGAGTGAGCGGCGTCCAGGAGGGAAGGAAGAGGGCCTTGGTGAGCTCCCTTTCGACCAGGGGAAGGGCAAAACAAAGGCTCCTGCATAAGCCAGAGCCACAGTGGGCCTTGGCCCAAGGCTGGGGGAAACTGGCATACACAAAGAATGCAGGAAACGGCTGTAGGCAGCCGGGACAGATCAAACACGAGAGCCGCCCACTGCCAGAGAGGGCTGAGACAGGTCGCGGCCACGGTGACCGTCTCGGCTGCTGCTGGAAAACATCAGGTCTGGGGAGTCACCAGGCCCAACAGGGAAATCTGTTTACTTACTCCTGAATTATTTATATAGGACCAGGGCGGACTTTAAACAGTTTGTGTACCTTTTAGGAAGCCGGTAAGACGACAAGACCCAAGTAAAGTTGGAGGAGGGGCAGAAAGGGCTGTTTATATACTGGAGAGGTAAGCCCAAGGACAGCTGTTTCAAGGGAACACGCTGCTTTGTTGTGGACACCTGCAAACAGTGGCGCACTCAGTAGGGGACTTCTCGAGTGGAAGAGAAAGGGCTATTTGAATGGTTAGCTCTCGTCTACGGCCATACTACCCTGAACGCACCAGATATCGTCTGAATGGTTAGCTCTTAGCAAACGAAATTCAGGAGAAGAATAATCCCTTGAACCAGGCTGACAACACATCCTTTTGAATGTAGGCTGCTGGGTCTTTCTGTCTGTCTGGTACTGGAAGACAGTCTTTGGTTCTTGCTAATGCAAAATAATTTCTAAATTAAAAAGAGCTTACCAGCCTCTGCGAGCTACTTGCCGTGACAGGGTACAGATGGTCTTGGGTTAAGTCTGTCTTTTCTGTGACTGGGTGGAATTTCTGAGCTACTGGGACTATAAGGCGAAGGGTACTGATGAGTTGTCCCTGTGACTTCTCCGCACAGGGGTAGGGACTGTGCCTGGCTCAGCTGGGCTGCTCTGCGACAGAAGGGAAGGGCACGTACCTGCAGGCCAATGGAGTCTGACGCCAAGGCTGAGTTCATGGTATTGAAACTCTCCAGGGCTGACGACTGGGTTTGGATGTGGTTCTCCAGATAGTCCTGCCGAGCGTGGGAAACCTGGACAGAGGACAAGACAGGCACTCAGAGCCAGTCCACACACCCACAGCAGTCTGCAGTGAGGCAGGAACTTACGTATGACAGTAGCCACATCCACATCAACATGATGTATAGTCAAGCTTTAGACTAAAAGTCAGTGTCTGCATGACCCTAAGAGCAGAAAAACAAAAATACTTTTCCTGTGGGTGCTGTTTACACAGTCACCCACAGGGCCTCAGAGCAACACTGTCAGAGCTTATTCTTTACAGGGAGGAAACAGAATCGGAGGGGATGAGTGATCTGCTCACAGATGCACAGCTCAAGCCGCACAGCTAGAAAGGTAACCAACAGCAGGAGGGCCTCCGCCATCTTGTTCTTTGTATGACCACAGGAAAAATGTGCCTTGGGCTAACACAGCGCTCAAGCGTTCTTTTGTTACTGCTGCTGCCTGTGTTGGGTGTGTTTAACAAGTCTCAAAGTTTCATCAGAACCCAGTCTTGAGTTAGACTTCACCAAGGGCTGGGGACAGCTCCTCAGGGAGGCCACAGGACTAGGGATGGGGGTTCCTCTGGAAGGCCTGAGGAAGTCAGAGAGGTGAGGCGCCCCCTGTCGGTAGAAGAGAGAAATGAAACAGCAAGCCAGGCAGGAGCAGGAGGCCCTGTCCCTGAGACCTGAGTTTGGGGCATCACGCCCGCATGCCTCATCAAGCTAAGAACATGGGGTGGTGCAGAAGATGAAGAGGCTGGCGAGGAGTCAGGGTCCCAGGGGCAGCCGGAGCGTGAGAAAATTAGGATGTGTAGGAGACGGTGACGGGAAGCAAGGGGCAGTGTCTTGTTTACCCTGCTACTGCAAATTCCATCCCTGGGCTCTGCAGGCAGTCATTAGTGTCTGTCAGAGGGAAGCAGAGTGGATTTCTGTGACAAGGTGAGACTGTCGCCTGTCTCCTCCCACATTCCGCTGAGAATGGGCCGGGAGGGTATGTGTACACGCCCCACTCCTATAATCAAGGCCACAGGTCTGCGTGAATAGATATCCACAGCCCAGCCATAAACTGAGCTCTCAGCAGAGAGGCTGTCACTGGCCACCTTCTCCCACATGCTGACTCACTGGGAGGATGTCACACAGGAACGGCCTCATCTTTGGGATTATTAGTAACATATGTCATTTAGGTCCTGCAGGCATTAGCTTGGTTAGACTAGAGGAAGCATTTGAGTAGGAGTGCACTGATATGGTGCCAACATTTAAAAAGTATTAGGTGCAGACAAATAGACCTCTCTTTCACTCCTGTCACATGAGCTAGGTTATCGCCCTCCCACCCTCACCCCTCCTGCTTTCCCCAAAGATAAGGCCTATGGGAAAAAATCAGCCTTGAAAACCAGAGATGAAAAATGCCCGTCCCTGACCTACCTGCCATCACTATTCTCTTGCTCCATGGCTACTCTGTAAGGTGGGCAAGGCTCACTGGGCTGGCATTTTTGATTTCTAGTTCTCAAGGTTGATTGTTTTCCAGCTAGGTCCTATTTTCAGGCAAATACAGTAGTTAGGAAGCCACTGTTCATCCCTTTCTGGGTTAGCCTTTCAGTAACTTTCACGCAAACACAAAACAATCTTGAAAAAGTTATTTTCTCCCCCTGTTTTATATAAATGGCAGCAAACTATACATATTTCTACAACTTGCTTTTTCATCTATTTTATATCTTGGGAATCTTTCCCTAACTATTTTTGAACAGAACTAAATTGTCCTTTTTTTGCAACTGTATGTTTTCTATTAGAGAGACGCAGTTTATTTTCCTATTCATGATGGGCATTTGTATTTTGGATCTTTTCACCACCATAAACAGTACAGCGATAGAGCAGTTCATCCCTAAGTCATTTCACATGTGGACAGTTCAATCTGTAGAATGAAATTTTAGGAATAGATCTGGGGGGAACGCTTTGCATATAAAGAAGATCGCCACTGTCATAAAAGTTTTCCTTTCAATAATAAACTCCAATGTGTGATAAAAATTCCCTCCTTTCATGTAAAATATGGCTCCATTTATAAAGAAAATTATGCACGCAAACATCTTTAGGAACCAGCACTGAGAGGAAGCTCCGAGTTCTGCCATCCACCCATCCACACCACTTCCCCACCGCGACACTGACTTACTGACAGTTCCTGGGTGAGCTGGCGAATCTTCTGCCTCATTTCATCATAGTCTCCATACATGCGCCTCCTTACTTTCTCCAAAGTGGCTCTCACCTGCAGCCCACAAAAAGTGGCACTAGGGTCATGATGCTATTGTGACATTTTCATGCAAGGTGTCTAAAACTTTACTAAAGAGAGAACAGCCCCACAAAAACCCCTTCAAAGTAGTAATCTCATAAATGAAGGGTAAAGATCACTCCTGATATCTAGTTAGAAAGCAATTACCCAAAAAATAGTAATTGTATGTAACTGTAATAATAAATATGAGTCATCCAAAGGATAAACTCTGAAGAAAAAGTGGTTTGTTGAAATTCACCTGTCACTCCCAAGCCACACTGGGTAAGGCCTGCCCCTTTTCCTAGCACACATTTTTATTTTTTATTTATTTATTTATTTATTTATTTATTTATTTATTTTGGTTTTTCTCTGGTACCGGGAACCGAACTCACGACCTTGCGCTTGCCAGGCTGGCGCTTTGCCCCTGAGCTAAATCCCCAGCCCCACACACATTTTTATAAGTAGCAAGTTTCCTGTAAACACATACTCAAGAGAATCAAGACTCCTAAAAGCAAAGGGCAACCTTTAAGTTTTCCCTATGTCTGCTCTGACAGCCAAAACACAACTAAATGCCCAGAAAGTAAGGCAGGAAAATGTGACCCTGGAGGGCCCATGAGTCAAAGGTCAGTTCTTCGGTAATCACCAGCAGCACAGAAGACACTGATTCTGAAGAGTGAAGCGATCCCTGGGACACTAATTCACATAAGCACAGAGTGAGTAACATGGCTTCAAATTTGTTTGTAACCACAATAAGAAACCTTACAAACAGACCGTTTCTTCCGGTCTTCTGTGCCCCTAGGTGGGCAAAGTCCTCAGAGCTCTCATAGAGGACAGGAAGTCTGAGGGCAGCTTGCTGCAGGTGCACCCCAGAGCCCCCACCCTAGACAGACGTGGGGTCGTGCTTGGTTAGAGGGCAATGTTTAGGGACTGTCGTGGGGGGCCTGGTGGCAGAAGTGTGTTTGCATAGTGACAGCCTGCTTTTAATCAGACTGGACAGAGTACAGAAGGAAGGGCGTGGGGGAGACAGAGGAGCCCAGACCCAGCCTTGCCCGGATGGATCCTAATAATAGGTTTTCCTTCTTGCCGTCAACCATAAACATTTGGGGAAAACATGGCCAAAGCATGCCTTCCACCCTAGGCTGAGGGAGTGACCACTGCTGCCCCCAAGCTGGGTCCCATGTTGTCACTGATGGGCAGTGGGCGGCATCTTCTCACAGGTGAACACCACAGGAGCCAGTAGGGCCGGAGAGTCACTCACAGAGAAGGAGTGCGGTCCAGACCACAAACACACTTGGGGTGGCCAGACCAGCGATGAACCAGAAGCCAGTTCCGAAAGGCGGGACCTGGAAAGTAGCTCTGCCTTGCAGATGTTAGTGGAGGTCAGTCATTTTCCAGGTCAGAACCAGCCCTGCGACTTCGGCACTGTCAGACACAGCTGACGCTCAGCCTGAACCTGCTGTCTCTGCCTTGGGCAACTTGCGAGTCGGGTCTCTGCATGGACCATTGACCTCTAAGGCAATGCCACGCTGTCTGGAGCATGTAAATGAGGGAGGGCTGAACATTTCCTTAAGAAAAATACAAGAGGCCTGGAATGTCTGTGCTTCAAAGAACAAGCAGGAATCGAATATTCTGTACGGTTTTAAACTCTCTTGGGAGGTAGAGTGAACAGGGAGTTGAGGCCAGTAGTTGTCACATTCTGTGTGTGTGTGCCTCAGATTTTATGCTAAGCATTTATTACTTTTACTTTTTAAAATTCAAGAAGAAACATTCTTTGAAAACCCATGCAACAGCTAAGACAAAGTGGCTTTGTGCATTATCTGCAGACCCGCCGAGGGAAACGTGGCTTGCTCCGCAGTTGAAGGTTTTCACCTTAGGGAGCAGAGTCCAGCTCACAGCCTACACGCGAGAAAACAGAAGCCGCTGTGGGCCAGAGCTGGACCCCGAAGCAGGGTCTGTGTACTCACGCCCCGCGCCTTCCGCTGCCCCACCCCCGCAGCGTCTGCTGGTCACAACCACTCGCTAAGCCACAGGTCATGCGAGGGCCCCGCACCTAACACAGCCCGTTTCCTCTTCATCTAATAACTGGTCTGGGCAACGGGAGCATCAGTCGTCTAGGGCAGTGGTGCTGAATTCTGTGGCACGTGTGCCGCAGTGGGCTACTTATCATCATTGAAAGCTCTAAAAGCTTCCATCGCTGATCTAGGGGGACACTGAGTAGGAGGAGGAAAACAGATACAGGCAGATATAAAAAATTAGAAGAAAATGCTCCAAAATGTTAACAACTGTAGCAGATGAATTGTGACATTCTCTTTTTTTTGTATGAGGAATCACTCTCAGGAACTTGTGCTTGCGAGGCAGGCGCTTGTGCCCCTGAACTATATCCCCGGCCCCAAATGGTGAGATTATGAATGGTGAGTGTATGAGATTCTTCGTACACTTTCACGTTTTCCAAAATTCCCCTGAAGCATATGCAACTTAAGAGATGAGAAGTACGACACTAAATACAAAGAAATGGCATTGCTGGGCTTGGCTTGGACAGCGTCTACTGTGGCTGACTTCCTGGCATCCCTGTTGTTGGTCTCAACCAGTCCAGTCCTCCTGCTCTCCTTGTCAGTGATTGGTCTGGGGAGCCAGGCATGTGACCAGCTCTGGCCAATAAGACCTAAGGGGAAGTCTACTGAGGGAGACTTATCCCCTCAAATTATCTAGGGATAAGTGGTCTTGTCTCTTCCTCCGGACATGGACATATTTTCAGAAGATGCCCCAAGTCTCAGACTGAAGAAAGAAAAAGCTAATGGAAACACAGAGGAGAGGAACCAGAGCTTGCATACACCCTGCCCGGAAGCTCACCCACCTCCAGACTCATCGCCATAGGAGATAAATTTCCTTTTTGAGTTGCCTTTTCTGTTTACAGCCGAGAGTACCCAAGAGTACCTACGCATAGGTGTGTCCTGTGTAACGCAAAACCACTTAAGAGCCTGTGTATGGTATGTGGAAGAAGGGAGCCGTTGGTGTCCTAAGGACCCCGCTCAGTAACATCCACCCTGCAGAGGTCCAAGCGGTGCCTTGCTGCAGAACTGCATCTGTACTTTAACATTACCATGAAGATACGTAGAAACATGTCCATCTAAAAGAACACTAAGAATCCTTCCAAGATGCCTGCTAAAGGGGCTGGGGATTTAGCTCAGCGGCAAAGCGCCTGCCTGGCAAGCGCAAGGTCGTGAGTTTGGTTCCCAGTACCGGAGAAAAACAAAAAAACAACAACAACAAAAAAAATGCCTGCTAAATCCACATCGGTGTTTCCAACTCCACCCTCTTACATGCTGCAAAGGGAGTATAAGCCAGAAAGGTAAGACTCCTCAGGGGCTCACATCTTTGATGTAGTTCATCTCTTCTTTCAGCTGACTGGTAGACCAGCCGTACACCACCATTTCCTTCTGCTGGTTTTGATCAGATCTTCGAACGACGCCATAAACCACACCCTGAGGAAGTTTCCGGGGCGATTCCCCATTGCTTAGTTCAGGAGGCTGAAAGGGGTAGGAACAGAGAAAAACCACAGTGACTGTGCAGGCCTCGTGGAAACAGCTGTGACCCGCCGTGTGGGATAGGGTGCCTGGCTGCAGTGGTGCCCGGCACGGGCCAGGCCTGCCAGCCTGGAAGAGGAGCCCTTGTGTTGACTTCTATGCCACTCTGCCCACTAACCTTGTGGTAAAGCTGCACAGCCCTGCCCTCCCGCGGGCAGGGTGGGGGGGCGACCTTTCCTAATTCCCATCAAGGTACAAGAAACACTTGCGTCAGGACACACAGGTTTGTGTGTCCTTGCAGTCCTGGTAATGCTGTTTTTCCCCTTATACCGGTTGGTCTGATGACTCCCACCTTATCACTAAGTATGTGGCCTGAAATGTGGGCGGTTGAGACTGGCGGTCACCGGGCAGCCACACTGTCCTCTGAGCACAGGGCTGCCCCGGGCCAAGTTCTGAGAAAAAGAGGTGGAGTTAGTACCCAATTTGTTGTGACTATTCGTGAAATATTTCTGACAAGCCTGACAGAGGCAGTATGACTCGAGCCCCAAAGAATCTTCCTGCTCCTGCAAGCTCAGGCTTAATTACTTCAATTAAAGATTGCTCGATGTTGAAACGCAAATCCCTTTGAGAAAGGACGGCAAGCCCACGTCATAATACGCTTGTGTACATGAAGCCTTGGGACCCAGGAAGGGGAAGGGAAGGCCTGCTGAGCACCCACGGGAGGCTGGGCCTGCTCCTCGGCACATTTCATGCTCACAGCCGCTCTCTAACCCGATTTTCCTCTCCACTTCTAGCTGCTGAGACTGAAGTTCAGAGAGACAAAAGAACTCACTAAGGAAAGAAGGGAAAGGAAAACAAACGAGAAAAGAAGGGTAAAAGGGAAACAAAGCTTTGTAAATAAGGAGGGGAAGAGGGGTTGAAGGGAGGGGAGGGAAACAGGAAAAAAGAGAAATCAAGATATAGCGCATGCAGGTAATTCCCTATGATGAAGGTGGTCACTAGGTATATGTACAGTGTACTTGCTAAAGCTCTCACATGCCAACGCCAGCCAGCGCTGTGTGACTCCGAGGCTGCCTCCTGGGACTGTGGCACGCAGGATACAGGATAAGAAGGGACAGAGTAGGGGTCTCCACAACACAGAGGAGACACAGGCAACCAAGAAGCCAGGCCCACAGCAGGACTTCACAGATGCACCAGCTCCTCTGACCTCCCCAGGGCCGCCCTGACCTCGGTGAGCCCCCTAGAAAACACGCAAGCCCTGGGGCTTTGGGGCTGTCCTGCCCTCCCAAGTACTAGGATGACAGGTGCGCACCACCACATGCAACACTAAACTTTTTCTTAAAAGCCTAGAATAAAATACATGACAAATTATTAACAGCAGTGACCTCTGAGCAGGGCCGTGGGGTGGTCCAAGGATGCTGGGACTGGAATGACCGGTGTTGTTTTCTTATATTCTTCTGCATTATTTATTTGAATTGTTTTTACAATTAGAGATTTTTATTAGGAACAAAACACATCCATTGAGTCCCTTCTGCCACACCTGCATGGGGGAGGTGAGACTGGAGGGTCTGCCCCCCACCACGCTCCCAGGAGGGCTGGGCCAGCTTCCACAGAACCCGCTGGCACTCCTGAAAGAGCTCATAAGTTTAAAAGAGCGGGCTGTCACAGTTCTCCATAGCTAAAGAAAAGCTCCGTAAAACTCCCCATGCCCTGGGAAACAAAGCTCTGACTAGAACACTAACTCCACCCAGTTCCTGAAAAACAAAGCCTGGGTCTGCAGAGCACTGTCTGAGGGGGACCAGAGCCAAGGGTCTCAGGCACAGAGAGACTGCTGAAGGCACACAGCGAATTTCACATTCTCATTTTTTGTCTTAAGAAAGCATGTGTTTTAGTCAGACATGGTGGTATATGCTTGAAATTCCAGCACTTGGGAGGCTGAGGCAGGAAGGTCACAAGTTTGAGAGCCCAGACTGCCCAGCAGACCCAGATCCATCTCAAAACAACAATCAAGAATATGTGTCTGTGTAGAACTTCTAGAAGGATGCAATCTGAACCTTCCTGGCCATTTCCTCAGTAAAGTGGGATGTCATTTTCTCTTCTAAATTCTTGTGCACTTTTTCAGGGGGGCGGGCACACAAAAACCCGAACATTATTGTGGAATTGATAATTTGTAATTTAAAAAAAAGAAACCACAAAAGTTGTTGAATTGCCAAGGTCTAAATAAGAGACTTTGGAGCTCCCAGGAAGAGAAGGGGGAGGAAGGGAAGCAGAAACGCACATGAAGACAGAAGAGAGGAGAGGTGTTTGCATCCGGGGATTTCACTGCGCCGTCTTCTCGTTAGTCCCCATCATAACCCCGCTGTGTAAACAGAGGGCAGCACTGAAGTTCCTGTCTCTGTCTTTCCAAATCTAAGCTCATTCCTTACCTCCAGTGCCTCCAAACCAGCTGAGAGTCAGGACAGACGCCCGTCCCAGAGTCTCAAGGGGCAGGGATGCTGAGAACCCGGCCCTCAGGGGTCAGTGCCCTTGGAGAGGCTGGCCTCATGGGCTCCTGCTCCCTGCCAATACCAGCTCCGGGAAGTCTGGGTCATGTTTGTGTCCTTTCCCACCACAAGCTGCAGCATCTAGCACAGGCAGACACGCAGTGAGTTTCTAAATAAATACTTGCTGAGTGATGGGGGAGCCTTAGAAGCTGGAGGTGGTTTGGGGTTCACCCAGGGCTCGTCGTGCAGCCCAGGGCAGGGACACCTTCCTTCCTTCCTCTTGGATGCAGGGATGGAGAACCGATGTTGACCTGAATTGCCAAACTTGTATCCAGAGACGCTCCAAAGAGCAGAGACTGCTATTTTTACAGAATGTCGGTATCCTTGCCACCTAAAATTGGAGAATATAGGAAAAATAACGAAAGCTGACATGCTCAGGCACGTTTCTGGCTGAATGGTTCCCCTCTGGTGCCCTTTAAAAGATCTCTCTGTGAGATAAATATTAATTTTTAGGCACGATAAAGGTATTGTGATAATATTAGAAAGTGTCTTTGAGAGTAACACGTCGAAGTGTTTGGTGCCTATTTATTTACTCACAGCGGGAGGGGGCGACTGGGCCTGGGGGGCAGTGACTCGTCACACAGGTCAGCCTTCTTTTCGCACAAGTTTGAACGCTCCATAACGAAAGGGTTTTTAACTCTCCTTACAGTGCTGCTTGATATTTAAAAATCAAATTTTAAAAATGCGTATGAGATCTACGACAAGCCTTCTCTCTAGGTATTAAACAACACTGAGCAAATCTCCTTAAAAAACGAAAGCCCTAATACATGTGGGAATGAAAAGAAAGTAATCAGTGAAGAAGGGAAAAGAGAACAACCAAACAAAAAGGCCTTCTTCCGCTGTCCCGAAGTAACAGGCATCGGAAGAACAGGTGTGACAAGCGTGCGCACGCGCGCGCATGCACGCAGACACACACATACACACCAGGGTTCTCACAGTGACAGTATTTCCTGTGAGAATATACAGCTCGGAACCTACCTCCGAGCCCAGCTGATGGCTGTTTTCCCTAGAGACACAATTTGTAGCAAGCCCCTTACAAACTAGGAAAGGAGAGCAACTGTCGAAAAGCAACTGCATCTCAATCCCTGCTGTCAGGGGTTCCTCGGCTCCTGGACAGCCTTGGATTAGTGAAGCCAACAATAGCTGATCAGGTTTTCCAACTCCTGAACTGGAGTTGGAGATCCAAGTTCTTACAACACAGCAAGTACCACAAAGCCAGGGCCCATACCTGCCATCTGCACGCATACCCCGATACTTGGCACAAAAAGAAGCGCATGTACATTTTAAGGAAGGCAGATCAGCCATTGGGATTGGGGCTATGCTGAAATAGCTGGAGTATCTGTCTTGGACAGTAGGGCTGATCTGTGCAAAGCAAGAAAATCCTTTGGGCCAGGACTCTCAGGGGAATAAACAAAGGCAGGAACACAGCTTCACTAACTTAAACTAGTGGCAGCAGAGGCCAAGACGGGCAGTGGGTCACACATCCAGGCTGCCAATGCGACTGGGGAGGATCATGGCGGGAATGAGCTGAAGTGGTAGATTAGGGCAGGGCAGACTGGCTGGGGAAGGAAGTGTGACCTGTTAATTACAAAACCCCCGAACACATGGGCCAAACCGTTCCCAAAGCCCTGCACAGGGATTTCTCAGGAGAACTCCAGCAGGGTTTCCTTAGGGCTGACCTGCTGTCAGCCTGAGGAGTGGGTGAGACAAAAAGGACAGTGGCCACTGAGCGCTCAGCCATGGTGTTCTCCTGGCCCGCAGGCCGTAGGGGGCACTTCCCCCACCTTTACACAGCCCCGATTGGCTCTGTAGAGCTCTTTCCTTTCCTACCTTCAATAAAGATAAAACCGCACTACTGTCTGCACTTGTCTTGACCAATTCTTTGCTCAGCACAGAAAGAACCTAGAAGGGGACTGTAGCACCCCAAACCTGGGTAAAATAGAGGTCAAGTTACTTCCTCCATGTCTGGCTTTGGCCCTCGTCCTTCCCACCAAAGGCAGCTGCTGCCCTGGCTCTGCCAAGAGCCCGGCCACAGGCACCCATCCTCCTGCCAGCTCGTGCAGGAATGCAGGCCGGCCTGTCTGGCCTGTGGGTCCATCTTCATGAGTTACTCATCTGATCATTACCCATGCATGACATAGTTTTCCTCCCTATGACAAAAATGAGTATTAGAGCAGAACCTGAGGAGCTTTCCACATCCCGGAAGAGAAACAGGGAAGGGAAGGCCAGCCCTGTATCCGGAGAGAAATGGAGACCTTTAGTTTATCAAACATCTGCTATTTTGACAGAGTCACAGACTGAATAGAAAGCACTTCCTAACTGAACAGAGAACACTTCCTTACTGAATAGAGAACACTTCCTAAGTGAGTTCAAGCTCAGAAACAGACTGATTGCCTTGAATGCTGAAATGAGAAGGGAAAGAAAAACGTCTAGCCAAGCTGAAGTCCCAGAGAGTGACAG